TTTTTTTTTTTTTTTTTTTTTTTGGCATAAGGAAAGATTCCCCATATTCCTCTTGAACAATGACTGAGACCAAGGTGACCATGTGAAATCCTCAATGAAGCCACAAACTAGTCCATGCAGCTTGATTTGAGGATTTTCTCTTTCTTCTTTACCGCAGGACAAACTTTTGACGAATCACATTCCTCCATCATGTTATCCTGATACATGTGCCTATTATCAGTCCAAAGAACGTTTCTAACCTTCCCACATCCCGGACTGGTTCTCGACGGGATGGACGTCCTCTTGATCTGGGCTGAGAATGCATTCTTCTCTTGTGACGCATTTTATGAATGACCTGATACAAGTCAATACTTTCATCAGGGGGAAACAGAAGACAAAGCTGGGTTCCACATTCGAGTTCAATTTCCTAGAATAAGAAAGTAGCCATTTATAACAAAAAGAGACCTTTTAAAAATTCTGCATTTTCTTGATGTACAAGAGCAAAAGCTGACTCAGAGGATTTCTTCCCAACAATGACACATTTCAGTAAGCCTTCAGATTTATAAACATTTTCATGTACTTATATAAAGGGTAGAAACTTAAAATACATAAATGTAGTTACTTAAACCTCTAATAATCAGGGCCAGGGATTTAGCTCAGTGTCCACCACCTGCCTTGCAAGCACAAGGGCACAAGTTCAATCCCAGGTACCACAAAACAAAATAAAACAAAGCAAACAATAAAAGTCTAATAATCACCCTGGAAAATTAAAGGAATATTTCTTTATGGGAAATACAAAAATATTAAAACAAAATCATTCAGCTTGATATAGTATAACCAATATAAATGATTATGTGGCAACAACAGTAAGTCTGCTAAATCACAGAAATACTACAGTCATAAAAAAGGCAGATTAACCTATCAATTAATTGAATTTCATTTCCAATTAATATACCAGTATACATTAATTACAAAGTCATAGTACAACTTACCAATTTTAGAATTTGGTTTTGTTTTCAATCACCAACACTTTCACTTAATGAGGGAATGAAAATATTTTATTATTTCTGATTTAAAATTATATGTGGGAGCTATGAGCATCTAAGATTAGGTTTGGTTCAAACTACTATGTATTTTCAATTTCATTTGTACACTTTAAAACCTAATAGTGTATTTAAAGATACACAGATATATGTGTTATCTTTTCAGAGGTTACTTTCTACTCAGAAAACTCAGCAAAGATTGTAAATGGCATTTCTATAATACACATTTTATATAAAATGCAGAATGTATTAAATAGTGATAATATAAAGAAAAACCACTTCAAGCTATTTCTCTTTAATTATTTTCCCTTCTTTTACTAATAAAATCATTAGCTATACACAGTGGCACTATTCTATTAACTCAAACTATGGGATTGAAGTATGAGGATCCATCCCAACTTTGAGCCCAGCCTGGGCAACCCAGGAAGACCTTGTCTCAAGAAGTTAAAAAATGGCTACAGAAAAAGCTCACTGTGAAGGAAATGGGTTCAATCCTATGAACCAAACAATAAGTAACTCTCATTTAAAGCTAAATTTCAGTATTAGCTATCTTAAGAATCAGTCATAGCAACAGGAGTCATGTACTTCAAATATTATTTTCTCTTGACTTTTCATAATTCACTTTCTACAAGTGGTTTTTAGAATACCTTTCAACAAAGATCACTAGAACAGTTAAGTACATATGTTTTTACAAAGAATCACTCAGAATAACAAACCTGTCCATCACGTCCAATCTTTACTGGCTTATGTTCATTCCAAGGATTGGTGAGATGAGCTGACTTTGTGAAGGGTAATTCACGCCTAAATACAAATTAGTATTAATTATATTCTTGTGAATCACCATGTTAACCGTAATTTAAATGAAACAAAATGTAAAGCAAAAAAACCCTGAATAACACAGCTGCTCCCTGACTTATGATGGTTAGGTTGAAATAAAATTAGTAGTAAACTGAAAACATTGCAAGTCAAAAAAAGTATTTAAGCCTGTGTAGTGGTGTACCCAGCAACTCACAATGAGGCAGGAGGATCAAGAGTTCAAGGCCAGCGTATTAACTTAAAGAGATTCCCTGTCTCAAAATAAAATTTTTAAAATGGGACTGCAGATGTGGCTCAATAGTAAAGTGTTTTCCTAGTATGTGCCAGGCCCTGGTATTTTAAGATCGTCTCCTCCAAAACAGACAGAAAATATATTAATGTATTTAAAACATTCAATCTATCAAATACCAGAGATCACCAAGAGTACAATACAGTTTTTTCTAGTGATCATGTGGCTGACGGAGCTGCAGCTCATTGCGCAGCTCAGCAAGAGCACTGTCTGTAACTAATCTAAGAAAAGACCAACATTCAAAACTCCAGGTAAACTTTCTACTGAATGCCTAAACCTTTGTAAAATCAACAAAGTTGAGACATCTCAAGTTAGGGACCATTGGCAGAATGCCTAAGAATATGGACTTGAAGAAGTTTTAATGCATTGAATATCAAGTACCCTTCAGAATTGTTAGGTATTATAATATTGTACTTTAACAGAATCTGTGTCAAAAAATTAAAATTACAGTTTTCTTTTAAAACTATAGGCCAACCTAAAACTTACTTTAAAAAAATTAAAGCTCAGGGCTGGGGATTTAGCTCAGTGGGTTCCACCACCTACCTCGCAAGCACAAGGATGCAAGTTCGATCCCCGGTACCAAAAAAGCAAACAAAAAAATTAAAGCCCAAAGCTTTCTGCCCAAAATTTTGTATCCAATGTTAAGAGTCTCTACTGGGGTCTTTAATGCATATTGGTAAATACTGTAGATTCCCAACAAGTTAGTAAGACAGCCATTAAGTTAAAGAGGAGGCATATAAGAATTAAATAATCTACTAATAAACGAAACCCTTCTTCTACAATTAAGAAAAAAATTTCATTGCCAATATGAAAAGGTCAACACTAGTAACAAAATCTGTTGAAATCTATCTAAAAATAATTACTACCTCTTGAAGCCAAGAAAGCATCATCTCCCAAATATTGTACAATGGCACCCATAGTGTTTCTTTTTGCCTTTCAACTATACACACAAATGTCTATCACCTCGCTGCTAAAACAGTAATCACCATCTTGTTTCTCCAATAAACAGTAATCAATTTTTAATCTTTAAATTGAAACTAACGAATTATATAAAAACTCCAGAGGCAATACAGTACAAGGTTATCACCAACAGTCTTTTCATTCCACTAATTTTTCTTTATAGTGTTCTGTTCCTACATGGGCAATTATTTCTGTACATTACATTTACGAAACCATAATCCACTCATCTAATTTTCTCTTTAGGAAAATTTAGATGGCTTCCTATTTTTCCTACAGAAGGTAATAAGATACTTTTACATGTAGTTTTTTGCGACAGTAACAAATTACACACTATTGCCACTCTTACCTTGGCCTATGTGTGTTTAGTTCTTCATTATCCTGTAGTAAAAGTTTAGGCTGTCCCACATTACTAATCATTTTTGCCTTTTGTTCTTTACAGACTATTCTATGAAGTAATGAGGCTCCAACCCCATCATATATCTCTCAGTGGCTCGTTTCCATGCTGTAATTGTGCTGATGTGCTTTCCTGAGAATCACTTCTCCTTGCTTATTGTTAACCAACTCTTTCATCATCTTTAGAGTCAATTTACAGTTCAAAGAACTGATAGTCTTTCAGATAATATTAATTATCAATATGAAGTATATTTTCATGGATCATGAAAAGCTGAGCTAATTAGCTTTTTATTACCAATAGTGGCAATCAACTCAGCATTAAAAATAGTAAGATTATTTTTTCTTTTTAATAAACTTATAGTTTGGTCTTTATTATACATGTTTGCAGTACATGATTACATTTCTCATGGGGAACATATAAAGAAAATTATTTATATGTGCATAACTCACCTTAAGTTTATGTTCCTTCTCTTTGCCTAACTCCCCCCCTTCCATCTTTTGGTCCCCCTTCTTTCCCATTTGCAAAAGATCTACTCTCCTAGTATAACATCCATCTTTTGTTCCTTATTTATACTTTGTATTTCTCATGTAAGGAAACCACAAAATATTTAAGTTAGCATGTCTTACTTATTGTATTTAAGATTAGGGTGTCCATTTTCCTAAAAATGCAAATTTAGCCTTCTTTATGACAACATACTCCATTACATATAAATAATCTTCTTTACATGTCTACCTATCCACTCATTTCTTGGTAGGACATATAGGCCACTTCCAAGATTAGCTATTATAAATTGTGCTGCTAGACACGAGTATGCATATATCACTGTGATATCTAACTCTTTAGGGAAGATAATGACAAGGGGAATGAATAGTTAGTTCCTTGTCAGTGTTTATTACTGATACTTGAAAATGGCCAATCTTTTCAGAGTAAGATGAAATCTGTGTTAATTAACATTTCCTTAATGGCCGAAAATACTGTATATTTTTTCCATGTATTTACTGGCCATTTATAGCTTTTTGAGAATTACCTGTTCATTTCAGTTGTCTATTTTTTTAACTGGGCCTTTCACTTGGGTCTAGTTTTTTAATTCTTTCATATCCCACACATTAGTCTTTTGCCCAAGGAATAGTTGAAGAATATTTTTCCCATTCTTTAGGTTGTTTCTTCATTCTATAGGTTTTTCCCTTTGCTGTGCAGAATCTTTTTGACATAAAACCTTTTTTGATTTTTGATGTTACTTCTTGTGCAAATGGGGCTGTTTAGAAAGTTGTCTATACCCGTGTCTTCAACAATTTATTTTATGTTCCAGCAGGTTGTTTGTTTTAATGAGCTCTTTATTTTGATTAAAAATGGTTAAATCTGAATCCTACTTCAAAATCTCAACTAAGCACGTACTGCTAACTTCTCTAAGCAACACCCAACTGCTCACAACCAAATCAGTCATGCCCACACCTTTTAGTCAAAGAATGTTTATTATCCCACTCCACAGTAACTAAGTTATATTAAATTTACCTAGATATGATAAACATTCCAAGCAAGTAAAATACATAAAATTATCAAAATAGATCTTTGGATCCCAGATTGGATTATAAAGGAAATGACAAGACAATGTAAAGAATCTGTTGCTTTTTTACTTTTAATGCTTAAATTTCATGAACCAAAATCAGTCTGGGAATGGGGGTAGGGGAAAGTAAGTGTAAGAACTTCAAAAAACTAAACCACTACTGAGTTCTACTATTTTTCCGAGTTTGTAGCCAACTCAAAAGGAGAGTAAATTTATTTATTCTGAAATGTACAATTTACCTGCAAATCCAGTCAATTTTAAAGACACCACCCAGCATTTTCGCACTCATTCCTGCTGGAAGCACCCAGTGTATAGGAGACCCTCCATGGTGAGATTCTGAACAAAGTCTTGCAAAGCCTACAAGAATCAGAACACAAAATAATATGGAGATGACAATATCATGAATGTTTTATTTTAGTATATCCGTATTATTTTTATTCTTACCTTGGAATTTTCCGCTTTCCCTGACAGAAAATATTAAGATAACACTCCTTGCGGATCTAAATGCAAGATTTAACTTCTTCTCATTTACAGGCAGTGTGGACCATACACCCTATATAAGAACACAAATGAAAATTAACTGCAAATCCAGTTTAGTTTACAAAAGACAAAATGCTACAGATTTCAGTCTGTTTTAAAGTCTAGAAAGCTATAACGGAGATCTCATTTACCAGCTGTTAAAATAATGCAGGTGTAACATTAAAAAATTAATAAAAAATATGGATAAAATTACCAACTGCACAAAATCACTGGAGGGGATCGAATGTTAGAAGATGAAGCTCTATTTACAGAAACAAACTGCCTATGATTGTTTTCAAATCACAACCATTTGCTCTGGTGAAATATAAGCCATTTGAAGGTGAATCACAACTTGTATGTTTTTCTTTCAGAAAGAGTGTGCTCAATCTATAATTTAAAATGACTTTGTTACTAAAACCATAAATGAAAAGTTTTTGTCAAGATTCTAACATTTCTGAACTTTTTCTACTTAATTTCAAATTTTTGTGTAATCTAGAGCTAGGATATAGGTACTCATTCATGAGAAATATTTTAAATAGTTCTTCATCCAAGGCGGGGGGAAATAGATGATATGGTAAAGGCAGAGGCTCTAATTCAGCTCCAAACCATCTGCTCATATAAGCTACATCTTTTCCTTCACACTAAATACTTAATTACAAGACGCTGAATCCACATCAGCCAAGAACACATTACTATATGGGTTTTTAATGCCTTCATTTTGTGAAGTTTTAACTGTAATCCTTAAATCAAAAGACAAAGATAGTAACAGAAATACAGCTAGCAAAATATTTAACTTTACTTGAAGCATTCTGGTAATCAACTGAAATGTTATCAAATTTAAACCAAGAATTTAAAAATATTATAATACCTAGTATAACACACAAATGTATTTTTTTTTCTTTAAAGATCTTATAATATCCTACAACAACTAGATATATTTTCTATAAATTCTGGGGTAGGTCTTTAAAGTTAGCACCCTTCCCTTTTCTTTTAAGTCCATGCGACCCTACTTCTAAAAAAAATCTAAGAAACTTTCCACAAAACTAGTTCCTTTTCAAAAAGAGCTCAAAGTATGAAACAGCATCAATTAACACAGAAATTGATTAAGGAAAATTTTAATGGTACTAATACAATGTATGAGCAACTGGCTAGAGAAAAAAAAAATCAAGAGACAGAGATCTTTTTTACAATATAAACACTGATAGTTATGACTTCTAAAGTCATATTTACTTAAATTACTACTAAATTGCCTAACTGGCCACAGGCTAGGTCCTGAGTGGCAACTGGGCTACAGATCTTTAAAGCTTTAAAGAAAATCAACCTATCTTATGCTACTGTAGAAACTCAAGTCTACTTTGCCATTTAAACATTTCAAGATAAGGACAGTTTCAACAGAACTAATGCTAATACCTTAGCTTTGGCAAGAGACACATTTTCATGATTGTTACTCTTTATGAGGAAAAATCTTGCATCCTGAAGGACATATTTGAGTTTACTGGTTTGATCTGAAAAAAAGAAATCCAAATTGATTAACCACAGACCAGTACCACACAAAGCATATAAACTATACTGACAAACAGCCCTCCACAACCCAGCTAAACTTTTAAAACTCAACAATCACCCATTCAACCTAGAAAGCTAAGCACAACATATAATAAAGCAAAACTAAGAAAAGGCAACCAGCATTTTGCAACAAGGTTATTAATTCTAATTTAGTGATGTTCCGATCTATCAGATCCTCATATGAGAATAGTTACAAGTTTTATAGAGTTTTACCAGATTCATTTAATAATAGACTATTAAACTGTGTTTGGTATATTTACATACATATACACATTGTATCCAAAAAGTAAAATACTCAAACATCTGGTATTGTGCTAAAATATATGCAGAAAAAGTGGAGCATGGAGCTTTCTATTGAAGATCACCTTATTTTTTCCCTTAATGCAATATATCGGAACATTACTACATGATAACCAACTACTAATGGAGAACTAATAAAGCAAAATAAGGACTTTATGGAGCATGCAATGAAAACAATTTCAAATTTAAATGATACCTTTTCGGACAGCACGAACGGAAGATGATAATTTCTCATGCTTCTTTTCTGAACCTGTATTTAGCCAAAGTACATTTGTTCAGCTTGAGTTTTAATAGCGGTAAGACAAAATTTCTACAGTCTTGTCACATAAAATTACCATTCAAGACAAATTATTCTTCCTGGCGCACCCACACACAAAAAAATACTTCTCAATGTGTACGAGTGTTTTGTTTTTGGGTCATCTGAATTTTTTAAAAAATGTATTTGAACAGATTCCCACTCAGAAAACTAGTCACTGAATCATCATCTTCCAAGGGAGGAAAAAAAAGGTGAAAATTCCACTTAAGCAGTAACAGAACAGGATTAAAATAAGAAAAAGCTTAGTTTCCTCTAGAATTACTACATTGAACATGCCAAAAATCAGTACTAATGGACATCAACATTTTCACACTAAGCTACAGCCTCCACACTTTCTAAAGCAGATTACATTAGAATCAGTCAGATATGACCACAAATAAGTCAAATGACATTACCTGCATATGATTCTGATGCAGAGCTTCCACTCCTATCAAAAACAATTGGTGATATGCCTCTAGCTCTCTTCCTTTCCTTCTTCTTTTCATCTTACAAAAAAAAAAAAAAATCCAAAAAAAATTTTTTTTAAATTCCATGATATATACAAAGCCACAGGTATTCAATTAAGAATGTTCCATTATATATCTGTTTTTCACAACTCTTAAGCACTGGTAACTTTATTTCAGAATCCCCCAATTTCTCGGTATACCCTTTTAAACATATTGTTCAGAAACTAAGGTATTTTAATTTCAATAAATAAAAATAGAGATGCGAAGATGCCTGTAATCTCAGCACAGTGGGAGGCTGGATGATCTCAATTTCAAACCCATCCCCGGCAATTTAAGTAAGAATGTGTCTAAAATTTAAAATAAAAAGAGTCAGAGGATGTAGCTCACTCAGAAAGCCCTGGGTTCAAGCCCTAGTACCATTAAAAATAAATAAAAAGAATATATTGAGATATCAGGTACTTAATTGCTCTACACAGAAAGCCCTGAATAAAGTTTCCCAACAAGCGGAAGTCTGCAAAACATACATATTTTTTTCCAATAAATTTTACTAAGTCCTTTCTATGCACCTCATAGTACTATCTTAAGTTCTTTGATTCGTTTGCTTAAATTATGCTACCATCTTCATCAGAATTCCAATTTTGATTTTAACAACGTTTGATAAGCACCAGAACCCAGACTTTTCAACTGGAAAAACAAAAAAATAAAAATAAGCTAGCGATTCCCTTCTGTTGCCAATGCTTACTTTTATGTCTTCAATTCCATCCTCCTTAACCATTTCTTCACTAGATCATTTTGTTTACAGTATTTCCAAATTTAATTTAAAATTTATTCCTAAAATCTTAATGACAGTCTTTATTCACATAAGAAAGCTGGAAATATTCTATAGACAGAAAGTCTGTATTACCCAGCATTAAGAAACATTTCAAGTTTAATTTTTAACTTTATAAGTACATACATGAAAACCTAAAATTAAAACCAAGTTCTTCTCATTTTGATTATATGATGATATCCTCTTTTACCCTTCAGCTGGAAGGAATATGAAAGAGAAAATTCATGCTTTTATAAACAATGGAAAGCTGAAAAACAATCAAGTCATTACGTATACACCATCCTACTGTTATCATGACAGCCATTTAAAAAGGTGAATACCTGCCTTGCAAGCGCAAGGACCAGAGTTCAATCCCCGGTACAACAAAAATAAAAAAAAAAAAAGCTGAATAAATTATTTCCCTTAATCCTTAGAGCAAGTTCCTGAGATACTGACTTACATATGAGGAAATCACACATCAGCTAGCTGGCCAGGTTCCACAGCTGTTTAGTGGCAGAACAGAGACTCCAAGGTAGGTCTTGTGGCTTTAGAGTACAAGCGCTCAGCTATGTACTTTACTGAGCAAGAAAAGATATTTTATCACTACTCCTGAAAAGGGGAGTTCTAGTTCAAACTACTTTTTGGGTTTTCTTTGTTGTTGTTGGGGGTCCCTATCTTTCTTTCCAAAGTTATGTTTAATTTCTTTCTCCTTGGATTTTTCCTTTCTAAAGTCCAAGCACTATGAATTGATCAGCTTAAGGGTTACACATGTCTTGTTGATGTTTAAAAAGTTTATTGTATGGTTGAAAGTAATGAAAGCGATCTCTCAACTTTCACTACTCTTCCAACTATTACTCTCAGGTCAAAAGAATAATGAAAACCACTGAACAAAACTTCATCAAGCAGTATGATGCTTTCCCAAGTTACTAAATATTCCAAAACCAAAAAAATAACTTCTAGAGCTTGTAAAACTTACAATATTGAAACTAAACAGCAACCTCTTGTATTCTGAAAACTTTTATTTCCTTATCAAGGAGTTCAAACTTCACTCAATTTTTCTTTCACTTCATGATGAAAATTTGTTTTGAGACAGAATCTAGTTATATAGTTCAGGCCGGCCATGAACTCACTATTGTAAGCCCAGGCTGGCCTCAAATAGGCAATCTTCTTGCCTCAGTCTCCCAAGTGCTGGGATTACAGGCATGTATCACCATGCCCGGCGGACAATATTTTATGAGAAAAATAATCTCCCACATATTAAATACAGTGTATGGTTTCTAAAGGAGGCTCCACATAAGGGGTTTTCTAAGGAAATATTTTCTTTAATAAGGAAAATAAGGGTTTCATTTATTATAAAGGTCAACTTCACATCTTTTCCACAAAAGTATAATCCTATACTCTCCTGGAGTCATCTAGGAGTTTGATAAAAATGCAAACTATTTTCAGATCCTTTCCATTTATACAAGTACCCATGACTTACCACAAACATTTCGGGACTAAAAAATATTATTCCTAACAGAAACACCTCCCCCCCCAAAATAAATTCCTGTAACAACATATTCCCCACTCCTCCATATGGTTTCATACACAAATGAACATTCACTGTCCACCATAACTGAACATTCATTTATATTACCAATGCATTTTTATTTCCTATCCATGATAAATTATAAAAGACCTATCTCATTTATTTACAAAAAGCATGATGGGAGAAAAGATTCTGTAAATTTTGATATCATACCCAACTACTCATCTATTTAAACCCTTTTACATTCTTCAAAAATGTCTAAACTCTCAAACCTACACTCTAGTGAACAAATGGTTGAAAGAACTTAAACTATCACTAGCAAATAGCTAGCCATTAGCTTTATCATGTATATAGTATCAACATATTTACCATACTGAGATTCTATACAACAAAACTATTTCAAAAGAATATTTGTATTCTAACGCTACGTAAATTCTGCTTACATAGCACATCTGATAGCATCTTGACATAACACAAAAATGAGACTATAATCTCCACTAAGAGGCCAGGCATCTGTAAATTTCCTTACTGCTCCTATCAAACCCACTGAAAGGCCCCTGAACTAGTGACTGCAACTGGACTTACAGTTGGGTCTCATGGCTAGGGATAAAGAGGTAGGACAGGTGGTATTGAAGAGATGACTAATCCAAGATGGCTCTTAATCTTTCTACAAGAATCTTATAATCCTTTCCATCTTGTAAACTGACAACTCAGAATTCCATAGACCCTGCCTGTCTCATGTCAGTCAACTGACAGATACAGAAGTAGAAAGAAAGTTTGTGTTCCCAAGGAAAAGAGAAGTTGTCTGGGTCTGCTGCTGCATGATGGAGATCTAGGGGCATTCTACCAAGGAAATGTTGTACTACCTAGTGGAAAGTTTCCATGTAAGTAAGTACACTTCAAGAACACTGCTTAAATAAGCTATTGTGGACTACATAAAAGTCTAAGAAACAACAACTTTAAAACTTGAAATATGCTTCCATGTAGAGAAAACAACTGGACTTAAGCTAATTTCTAAGAAGTTAATCTGTAGCCTGGAAATCCCTTTACCAAAACACTATGCAAATTTACTCAAAATTTCACAACTGTATTTAAGACTCAACAGCATATAATTAACTATGAATATCACAAAATCATCCTATTAATATCCCCTAATGTCTCAATATTTTTATACTTCAATTTAAACATATTCAAAAAGAAAACCAAGTCTCACACACACACACACACACACACACACACACACACACACAGAGCAAGAAAAACTCTGACATATAAAAAGTACTACCTGATCCATCTGTTCCTGAACCAGACCTGACAGATCCATCCGTGAAGGAAACAGATTCAGAACCAGAGTCACTGGCCTCACTTCGAGTGTCATAATCATTTCCCTCCTCCTTCTGGTCTCTCTCATCTTGTTCATATTCTTCTTCCTCTTCTTCCTCCTCCTCTTCCTCTTCCTCCTCCTCTTCCTCTTCCTCTCCCTCATCTACCTCCTCCTCTTCCTCTGCATCTTCTTCCACCTCCTCTTCTTCCTCTACATCTTCCTCCACTCCTTCCTCCTCATTCTCAGTGTTGTTGCCTTGCTCATCAGAAGAACCACTGCTGCCAGTCTCATGATCAGAGCCATATTCTTCAGAGTTCACTTCTTCCTTGGATGACTGGCTGGATCTGCTTGCACGTCTATCAACTTCTAGCCCAATTCTCTGATATTTAAAGAAAAAGGGAATCAGCAGTCATAATAGACAAAGTCAAGATGAATAAATAGTTCTAAAGCCTCAAAAAGAACTGCTTTCTGTTTTATATCTGCAATAATATTTACTACCTCGGAAACATCTGGTGTAGGAGATTTGGCCCTCCTCTCAGGATCCCTTTTCCTTAGACAAGTTTTCTCAGGCTGACTCTTATAAGGTTCTCGGGAGGCACTGCTTGACAGACGAATTTTCCGATCAGCATCTAGACGCTTGTTTCTTTCAGATCTTTGATATTCCTCACTTTTATATTCTGCAACTGGCTTTCCTTTTGTACTAACAATTCTTTTGTTATTGCTAACAGATGAGCTTAGTGGCTTAGAAATCAACTGTCTGGAATGGACAGAAGGCTTCTGTCGCTTGGCATCAGTAGATTCCATCCGGTCACTTTTTCTTTTTGATCCTATAAAACACAATTTAAAAAGATATATAAAAATATTTATAGTATTCTTTTAAATTCAAAGATTTACAGGTAACAAGAATCAGAAGAAAAGCCTCATTTCTTTATCTTCTACACTATTTTTATCCTACATCTAATCGAAAAGAAAATTCAAATTTCAGCTACTAAAGTAAATCTATATTTCTGAGAAATTTCATGTATTTAAAAAATACTCATATGCAATAAAGTATCTTACATAAAACTATCACATGGCTTTGTTACTAATCTCCAAGTACAAAAGCAGTGATTTTTCTGAAGAAACTGAATCTCTTATTTTCACTGTTATTTTTTATAAAAATAATAGAATTCAACATACATACCCTTTTTCTCGTTTTTATCTTGTTCACTCTCTGGATTATAGAGTTCATCATCCTGTTCTGGAACTTCAGTTAAAATATCATCTAGAACATTAAGTTCTCCATCTGCAAACAAATTTAAAAATTAAGTAGGAAGAAAGTAATATTAAACATTTATTTTTGAGTAATTAGGAAATCATACAATCCCCTGGGCATGGTGGCACATGTCTGTAATCCAGCACTCTGAGAGGCTAAAGCAGGAAGATCTCAAATTTGAGTCCAGCCTTAGGTTCAATTGTCAGTACCACAGGAAGTTGGCAGAAAAGGAGGAAGGTAAGAGGGAAGGAAGGAATGACCCAACCAGTCAACCATCATCTTCAAAGAGATATTTTGGGATCAAGGCACAAAATTAATTCCTACCAAAAAAAGGAATATATAGCCTGTAAGGTATGAAAAGATGGTAGACAACAGCTTAGTCAAATAAAGTTTACATCACCAATAAAAATTTCTAATTAGGGAGTATTTGAAAATTACTACGCCTGGATTGGGCTAATGATTGATTGATTTCTTTGGGTGGTGTGGTATGAACTTATCTGTTCTTTATGTTTTTTTCTGAAATTAATACAGTATTGAAAGTTGTATTTTTATTAGGAAAAAAAGATGTTACTGAGTTGGGTGTGGTGGGGCCTTCCTGTAACGCCAGCTTTAGGCAGGCTGAGGCAGAACTGTGAGTTGCAGGCCAGTCTGGTCTATACAGCAGAATGCCATCACAAAACAACAAAACAGAGTCACTAAAGGTTAAGATACATCAAACAAAAGGGCTTCTCTTATCTGGATTCCCATTTGCAATAAATGAAAGTCTCCCAAAATCTGAACAGCAGCAAATACCATTTAGAATACATGATAAATTAAAAATAAAAGGGGTTTTAATCTTTAGAAGTATTAAATTCCAACTTAGATACTGCTTGCAATTTTGGAAAGCACCTACAAACTTGAATTCAAGATAATAAACATTAACTAATGCTTATTTAATAAACATCACTTTAACATTTTAGTGCTTTTACATCAATCATATAGGCACATCATATAAAAATAAGGTAGGTTTTATTATCTATTAGTTTACAGGTTAAAAACAAAAACAAAAACAAAAACAAAAACAGAAGCAGGCTAAGGATGCAGGTCAGCAGGAGTACACTTATCCAGCATGTCTGAAGCCTAGCACTGGAAAAATAAATGAAGTGGATATAGAAGCTCAAAAGTTCAAAGTGACCAAATACACTTGTTCAGTACAGATGGATTTCAGTCTGGAGTTCAGGCTTTCTAAACCTACAGTCACTTAGATTTGGAACTTTAAACACACTTTAAAGCATAAAGGATGCAATAAGATAGAAAATAGAAATGCAATAAGATAGAAAAGGTCATATGTATTAAATTAACTAATCCCTATTTGATGATACATGTAGTTTTATTCATATTACAGTCCATGATATCAATAAGCTAAGCATGTGGATTTCTCACAAACTAGCAAGCTAAATGCTAACAAATTTGATCCATGGCTTGTTTTAGTATGGCCTGCAATTTGTACGAATGGTTTTTATATTTTTAAGGTGTTTAGAAAATTATAAAATGTTGTGTCTCTTTAAGACTGCCTGGATGTTACTTTGTCCCACAACTGAAACCACTTATTCACTGAAAAAAGATGTATGTGGGAAATAGTTCTGGAAGTCAAGAAGTTTAAACTATCCCTTCAGAGTTAGGTACTGGGTAAATGCCAGGCTTCCTGAGCTCATTTTATTTCCCTGAGTAAAATGAATTAAGAATAAAAATATCAGGGCTGGGAATTTGGCTCAGTGGCACCACACCTGTTTCGTAAATGCAAGGTCCTAAGTTTGACTCCTGGTACAAAAAAAAAGGGGGGGATCAATATTTGGGAAAGTAAAAGAAGGGCAATTAACTAAATCTTCTAAAAAGTGTTTTAATCTATAAGCCCTTCCTTATCACTATTAGATTATAATAAATTTTATCCACCTCAACCATTTTCTGGTTAATGACTAGGGCACATGTTAAAAATCACAAAATAAAATCCTCTTCAGTAGATCTATATTCATGTCCTAATTATCTATTGCCAAATAAGATATCAATCCAAAACTTGGTACTTAAAAGAGAATAAATCATTTTTTCATTATTGCTAATGGTTCTGGGGACCAAGTAGGGTCTCCTCTCTTCTGGTTGATATCTGGAGCTAAAAGCATCTTAAGACTAGTATGTGGATGGTACTTAAGCTGGAGATTAAAAGCCACTAGGGCTTCCTTAGCCATTTTTCCTATGGTCACTCTCCTTTATGGTAGCTTCAGGGTAGGAATTCTTTTGGAAAGAAATCTCTTTAAAAAAGTAAGGTAATATTCACTTGGTCTAGACTAATTTTCCTTAAACTACTTTAAATCACTTTCATTTTCCTGAAATTTAACATCACTGATATGGCATATAAAGAAGTATCAGTACATTCAATTACTTTGAAATACTTTGACAGCATCACACCAGTCGAATAATATTAACAGTAAAATGAACCTGTTAGTTAGCAATGTCAGTTCAAGAAAAGTTCTGTAAACAACATGCACGTATTGTAATTCTAATTACTAATGGGATAAAGAACATTTCTGGATGCCTACAAAGAAAACTGTACAGATGTTAAAAATTTTAAAATCTCAAACTTTCAAAATTGAGATGTCATAAGATTGATTTTTTTTTTTCAGGAAGTACAATAAATTAGCTCAGTGCTTGATTAAATAGTATCTCCACCTAGAACTAAAACTAAATCTCAAGGCCAGGGATTTAAGCCTAGTGGCACTATGCCTGCTTCACAAAGTCCTGAGTTCAACCTCCATTATGGGGGGAGGCAGACCTTATTCATAGAATTAAACTTCAAATCTTTTGAAATTACACACTAGCTCATATAACAGAATAAAACTAGCTACTGGATGTTTTTTAAGAACTCCAAAAATTTATTATAAAAACTCATTTTTTGTTTAAAAACTACCAATAGCAATCAGTCCAGATTCTCACCTGAAAACCACCAGCTGGGGCAGCCAAGACACTGTTAGGATATAGAGAAGGCAACATGCCAAAGCTTTGCATGAGACAATCTGGGTTTATGCTTGGTAAATTAGTGCTTTTCAGTTGTACTGTATGAACACAGAACATGCTTGCACTTTATTTTTTAACATACTACTTCTGTGCCTACACAATAACTATCTGCCTGACTCTAAAAATGCATATCTGCAATCTCTGAATAAAACTGGCACAAAACAATTCCAAGTAAACTGAAGCCTCAGCTCCACAGATACTGAGGCGCAAGGACACTAAACTCGTTTTAGCATATAGTCATGCAATAAGGAGGATACATTTAAAGATATGTGTAACTGGGCAATTTTGTTATCCTGTAAATACTGTGAACAGCTTTCACAGACTTGAGTGGCTAGGCAATATAAATCTGATGCAACAATCCTCAGATATGTAATATGTCGCCCACTGCTAATTGAAACATTGTTACTTTATCACTGTACTTTTTGAAGACATAGGCAAGATAATAGGGACAATCCCAATCCACTGCAGTATACTGGTTGTGCTGAGAGGATGCAGTGCTGTCAGTTTCCAAATGTTTAAATTCCATTCCCAAACCAGAATTTTTATTTGAAATTATCTGACTTTAACATGTTGCTGAATTAAAAAAAAAAAAAAAAAAAAAAAAAAAA